ATTAGATTGGATTTGATACAAAGAAAGCATGCAAGCAAAATGATATGCACCACTAGTGTCAACTTGATGTTCACTTGTTCATAAAATATTTCATAAATGAGGTAACATGTCATAAATGGACAGGAATGATGCAAATTCAAAATTTACAAGCATTTCTGAGGAATGGATAGCCCTCCTCCTAAATCTGCATCATACAGAGATTTTTATTCTAGGTTTGAAGTATAGTTATTTCGCAAAAAGATGCTAAGGATATTGAATGAAATTAAAAACAAACAACTGAGTTGCAGAAGACGCTAACAGACTTAAAATTTTCATACCAAATTCAATTGCTACCCTAGCAACTGTCTATGTTAACTGCCTGGGAAATAGAAGCAAAATTGAACAATGCAAAACAAAGACATTTTGAGTTTGCAAACCAATTAGGAAGCTGGCTGGCATATAAACTGAGAAAGGGAGCAGAAAAGAAAAAGATAAGAGTAAATTCAAGAAGGGGAGATGGTATTAACAGATAATGACTTTATTCAAGAGTCCTTTTATATAACTTCTGCTCTGACCTGTATAAGAGACAGGAAATGGATATGCAAATAATAGAAAACTATTTTAGTTTTAGTATTCTGTAGACTTTAGAAAAAGTTCAGAGGAGAGCAACCAAGATGATTAGGGGACTGGAGGCTAAAACATACGATGAATGGTTGCAGGAATTGGGCATGGCTCGTCTAGTGAACAGAAGGACCAGGGGAGAGCAGTCTTCCACTATTTGAGGGGCTGCCACAGAGAAGAAAAGGGGGTCAAGCTATTTTCCAAAGCACCAGAAGACCAGACAAGGAATAATGGATGGAAACTGAACAAGGAGAGATTCAACCTGGAAATAAGGAGGAATTTTCTGATCATGAAAACAATCAACCAATGGAACAGAAGTTGCCTTTGGAAGTTGTGGGAGCTTCATCACTGGAGGCTTTCAAGAAGAGACTGGACTGTCATCTGTCAGAAATGGTGTAGGGTCTCCTGCTTGGCAGTGGGGTTGGACTAGATGACCTAGAAGGTCCCTTCCAACTCTGTTAATCTAATGTCTTCTATTTAAAAACAACAACATCTTTCACAAAACTCTGTTTTTATTCTTAAGCAAAAAAGGCCAAATGGTTCTCTGCACAATTATCACCAGAACAGGAAACAGATCCTTAAAAAATTAGCGAAAAGCAACAATACTGATAGTCCTTGACTCACAACAATTCATTTAGTGACTGTTCCAAGTGACTTATGACCATTTTTCATAGTTATGACTTTTGCAGCATCCCCCCAGTCACATGATCAAAATTCAGATCCTTGGCAGCTGACTTGTATTTATGACAGTTGCAGTGTCTTGGGGTCACATGTGATCCCCGTTTGCGACCTTCTGCCAAGTAAGGTCAATGAGGAAGCCAGATTCACTTAACAACCGTGCTACTAATTTAGCAACTGCAGTGATTCACTTAGTGACTGTGGCAAGAAAAGTCATAAAACGGGGCAAAATTCACTTGACAAATGTCTCGTTTAGCAACAGGCTCAACTGTCGTTATAAGTCGAGGACTACCTGTATGGGATGTGGCTTTTCTTCCACCTCTCCTTGAATGAAAATGGCTGTTTCTTAAATTATATTTTTGAATTAAATTATCGATGGAGGCCTTGCTCTTTCTCCCCTCGGTCCCTCCCTTTGAAAGCAACTGGAATTTATTTCAAGAGAAAGGCAAGCGATAAACAGAACTCCATCAGGCAGAAGCAGAATTAAAGACGAGAAACATTTGAACTCCTAATCTTTCATTGCTGACCTCAAATGCAGGCACATTTAGGAATACAGATTGATCAGAATTCCACTCCTTCCTGCCTCCCCCACCAACTTCTCAAATGCTGCTTAGATGTCACTAATCAAAATGTATTTATGCACACGCAGCCAACTTGTTTCGTGCGGAGGGCTGCAGCTAAGAATTAAAAATGAGTTTGCTCATTTGGGGAAAAAAAATGTCCTTCCCAAAGGTGCAAAATCCTGCTGGAGTTACTTCCCACCGGTCAACGTAGCCTGCAGTGCTGCATTCTAACCACTGTGCCACTGCAGCTCTTATTAGATGCACAATTCTGTCAGTTGCTTACAAGATGCGCTTATGCACGTCCCCTACAGACCTCTTAGGAAAGGGGTGAGGTCAATAGTAGACAGTCTTAAGGTTAAAGTTCTTGGGGTTTGGGGAAGAAACCACAGAGTCAGGTAGAGTATTCCAGACATTGATCACTCTGTGGCTGAAGTCGTATTTCCAGCAATCAAGTTTGGTGCGGTTAACCTTGAGTTTGTATCTATTGTGTGCTCTTGTGTTGTTATGGTTGAAGCTGAAGTATTCATTGACAGGTAGGACATTTCAATGGATGATTTTATATACTATACTTAGATCAGACTGAAGGTGGCATAATTCAAGGTTTTCTAGGTCTAGAATTTCAAGTCTGGTGGCATAAGGTATTCTACCCATTGGGAAGCTCTGGGCTATGCCTTCTTTTATCTGACCATGTCCTAGGCAGCTTCTCTTCACTGGGTCTTCCAAAGTCATTCCCACAGACAGCTACCCTAGCCTTGAGATGGATTTGGGGTGTGTTACTTTGGGTTTGGCTAGTCTGGAGAGAAGAATTAAGGGTACAGTGGTGGGATTCAAAAGGTTTTACTACCGGTTCTGTGGGCGTGGCATGGTGGGCGTGGCTTTGTTTGGTGGGCGTGGCTTGGTGGGCATGGCAGGGGAAGGATATTGCAAAAATCCCCATTCCCTCCCCACCTGCTTTCCAGCTCCGTTCTCCTGTGCAGGGCAACCAAAGAAGACCCAGCCAATCAGCTGGCACTCAACGAGGGGCAGAGAAGAGATGGGGTTGGCCAGTTCTCCAAACTACTCAAAATTTCCACTACAGGTTCTCCAGAACTGGTCAGAACCTGCTGAATCCCACCAATGTAGGGGTGACATAATGACAGTGTTCCAGTATTCAAGGGGCCGACACAAAGAAGAACGGGTCATATTATTCTCCAAAGCATCAGAAGGCAGGACAAGAAACAATGGATGGAAACTAGTCAAGGAGAGAAGCAACTTAGAATTAAGGAGAAACTTCCTAATAATAACAACAATTAGCCAATGGAATAATTTGCCTTCAGAATTCGTGACTGATCCATCACTGGAGGTTTTTAAAGAAGAGACTGGACAGCCACTTATCTGAAATGGGATAGGTTCTCCTGCTTGAGGAGGGGGCTGGACTAGAAGACCTCCAGGGTCCCTTCCAGGTCTATTCTATTCGAATCACTTTCTCCTGTTTCTGACTGTGCCATGGCCTCACCCACTCATGAAAGTCAGAAGGCCTCCCAGAATTCAATAACCCTCATTGTTCTGAGACAATGTCTCCAAAACCGGCTTAAACCCGAGGATAACAAAGACACTTCCACTGCCATAAATTAGCAATTCCCAGCTTAACGACTCTTCCTGGACTAATTGCCAGAGACTATTGTACATTATGGGAGTGCAACGCGACTAATACCTAAATATGCTTCAGTGATTACGGTGCCATCTTCAATAACCGAGCTGTTTAAATGTCATTGTGGAAATAGCTCTTTAGCGGGAGATAAAATGTTATTTCCAGAGTGGGCCAGCAGAACCTAATCAACCTTTGGGGGAGTTTCTCTTGGAAACTCTGGGTTATTATTTTTGTTCTTAATGGAAGAAAATGTGAGAAAGGCCTCCATTACAAGCTCCGCAGCTAATATAATATTGCCAGTTGGAAGGGGTTAAAAAAAAAAAACCCAGAAGAGATTTCTCAGGGAATAGCGGTCTTCCAATATTTGAGGGGCTGCCACTGAGAGGAGGAAGGGGTCAAGCTATTTTCTAAGGCATCCAAAGGCCAGACAAGGAATAATGGATGGAAACTGAACAAGGAGAGATTCAACCTGGAAATAAGGAGGAATTTTCTGACAGTGAGAACAATCAACCCATGGAACAGAAGTTGCCTTCAGAAGTTGTGGGAGCTTCATCACTGGAGGCTTTCAAGGGGAGATTGGACTTCCATCTGTCAGAAATGGTGTAGGGTCTCCTCTTTGGGCAGTGGGTTTGACTAGATGACTTACAAGGTCCCTTCCAACTCTGTTAATCTAATCAAAAATCCAAGATGATTAGGGGCCTGAATACTGATGGATGCTGGTAAGAAGAGGCAGAATTTTTCCCCTTATTTTCCTCCCCCCAAACTAAGCCCAATCACATAGTTTTGTAGTGAAGCACAGGTATCCAGCTAGTATATTGATAAAATAGTAAATGTCATGAATGCAAGAACAGCTTCTTCTTCTTCCATGTCTACATCAAACTTTAAAGTGCCAGAATGAAGCTATATTCTTGGCTTTGTCACTGGCCAAAAACAATTCATTATTGGTACATGTTTCTGGTAGTAGTTTACATACCAGTAGTTGGGCTGGGCTCTGTGTCTCTCAGCTTCCATATATATGGCGCTTTATCATTTTTTCCAACCATGTGTGTATTTTTGTCTAATTTTTTTTTTGCCTTTGGGCATGTCCACCACATATGATAATACAAACCAGGTATCTGATGACATTTCAAACATTTAGCGGACGTGGCCTTAAACATCTTTGCCAACCTTGTGGGTGAAAAATATCATTTGTAAAACATTTTATAAAGATTTTCCTTATATGCAGCTGACATCGTTAATTTATAATTCCTATCCCACAATTTCTGCCACTTATCTATTGTGTAACGAACATTTTTAGCCCATAACTATCATTGTCTCCTTTACTTGCTCACTTTCCATTTGGATACTTAATAGATATTAATGAATAAATAATTATTAATTCCATCCTGCAACATTATCTGTAACAGTCTCAAACATCCACATCTGCCTATCCTAGGTCCTAGGGAAGGACCAAAATGCCAAATCCAGTCTGAACATCTGGCCGACTGTGCAACGAACAATCCTAATAACAGGAGGAGGTCAGGACTTACCATATATCCCGGTCCACAGGTGCATTTCCCTGTGATGCTGTCACAATCCGCTCCATTTTGACAATGGCAAACAAGGCGACAACTTTCACCGTAGAACCCTGGTGCACACGTTTCGTTGCAAAAGAGCCCTGCCCAGCCAGCTTTGCAGTTGCATTCGCCAGACAGAGGATGGCAACTGTCAAAAAAGAGATGCAGGATTAATCAGCTATTCCGCCAGGAAGAAAAGCAACCCCAGGTCCTTGGAAGCCAACATCTGACCCATTTATATGTCACACCATGTTTACAAACATTCCAGCTAAAGGTCTTCCAGTCCTTCAGGTCATGGTTGTCCATGGTTGTCTTCCAGTCCTTCAGGTCATGGTTGTCCCAGAGGCAACTAGACTTTCTGATTTTTCTCTGCAGTTGTTCTCATCCAAGAAGCTTCTTCAGCTCTGACTTGATGGTGGGGAATGGAAGGATTTATATTCCTTGCAGACAATTCCTGCTCATTTGTATTCTTTTAGCATGTCGTTAAGGTCACCTGGAGGTTTATCTGTGTTATCAGGGTCACCTGAGTGGTGCAAATGGGTGTGGAATCTTTTTGGAAGTGTTGAAAGGACTGTGTTGTATCTACCTCCAGTCTACAACAAGGTCCTTTCAGCAGTTCCAAAAAGGCTCCACAGCCATTTGCACCACTCAGATAACAGATAAACTTCCAGGTGACCTTAACGACATGCTAAAAGAATGCAAATGACCAGCTGTCTGCAAGGAGTATAAATCCTTCCATTCTCGATCCTATCCCTCTGTTCATGCAGCCTATGATTACATTGACTTTACTTTGAAAATGTAAACCAGAATTACAAAATCCCCAAGAAAAGTTTTACTTAACTGGCCTAGTTTCTACCCCCACACCCCCTACTTAAAGCTATCAACCAAAGAACTAGCACATAATGTTGTGCCTAAAAATTACCAAGTTCTGTAGCTGTCTTATGCTTCCTCGAGTAACTAATTAAAACAATTAATCAGCTTAATAAAAAAAAAATAAGAAAAGTTTCCAACTGACATACTCCTTGAATTATATGTTCCTCGGTTCACGCCTCTTAACATTTAGATGAAAACTCATAAAAACAGCCAGTGCCTCCACCCACCTCCGTTTCTATTAATCTCCATGGAATGGAAACATAAAATGAAACAGCAAAGCAATCGTTTGGTTTCCCTGGTTTTGCGCTTCTTCCTTGTGGCACATACAACGCGACGTTTTCAAGCCATTTGGCCCCGCATAGCTAAATTAAATCTTTCAAAAGTAATATATGTTTCTTGCAGTCAGAATCCATACATTACAATTCAACCTAACACCGCTTCACCTGGTAAGCATTTCTCCTGCAAGGTGGAGCCTTTCATCAGAATATAAAAGGTTAGGCCTTTTAAAAACAAATTACCAACATGAAATACGTTTATTTTATGAGTGGCACAAAGTTTATTCTCCTAAATAATAAGCATGCAAGAGACAAACAGCAAGAAGAGCAGAATTAACAGTCAATACGCCATTCAGGGAAAGCTAGTTTTTTAATCTCACTCTCTCTGTCTCCTAAAATCTCTATTTCTGCCTTCGGTAATATTCTGTCTCAGCTCATATCTCCCGACTCTGAAGAAAGTGAAATGGATTGAAAACAAGTTATCTCTGCCTAGGTCTCTATTTTTTTTTTTTAGTTCAGCTCCAGCAAAGTGTCCTCTGTTGATACAAGGCTGTGGGTCAAGACTGAAGACCTTAGCTTGGAAGTAGATCTACAGTGGAATCTCGGGACTCTTTGTTAATTGGTTCTGGGAGACTGATGAGGTTCTGATGAGCACCAAAAACAATAAGTGCCAAACAAATTTTCCCCATAACGAATAATGTAGTAAGTCACAAGGCAGTTGACACGCTCTAGCGTGAGCATCGAGTACCAAACAACGAATACTGGGACAAAATTTTCCTGTCAAAATGCACTGAGTACAAGTTGTCCTTGACTTACGATCACAATTGAGCCCAACATTTATGTTGCTAAGCGAGACATTGGCTAAGTGAATTGTGCTCCATTTTACAGCCTTTCTTGCCACAGCTGTAAGGTGAGTCACTGCAGTGGTTAAGTTAGTAACATGGTTGTTAAGTGAATCTGGCTTCCCCATTGACTTGTCTTGTCAGATGGTCGCAAAAGGGACATGGCAACCATCATAAATATGAACTATTCAGCACCTGAATTTTGATCACGTGATGCTGCAACAGTCATGAGTGTGAAAAATGTTCGTAAGTCCCTTTTTTCGGTGCTGTTGTAACAAAAAGAGTTGTTGTAAGTCAGGATTCTGGCAGTTGCCCCCATTTAAATAATGAGTCTTGAGCCAAACTTCCAAAACTTCAAAAGGATTTATTGGGAGTTAACATATCTGGCACTGCCTGGGTGTAGCCGACTCTGAGAAACATCATTCATTGTCACCCTTGACCCTGGTTTTCCCTCCACTCCCTGGGTGTATCTTAATTCATATTCTCCAGTGGGACACATCCATAGCCCAGAGCCATCAATCATGTTCTCCAGTTAGAATTTTGCACGGCAGAAACTTCAGTCACCTAGTTATTATCTTTGAAAACATTTATGGAATGCAGTTTAGGTTTGCAAGCTGTTGCAATTGCTCCCCCTCCCTTTCTGTTGGCAACTCTAAAAAGACCAGAGAAATATTTTATGAGTTTACATCAAAGACTACCTGTACCAAATTCGATGAATTTCAAAGCAGTTGCATACCAAGGTATCACAGTACAAGAATCGGATCCAATTTTGGACACTGGCATTATGTGCCTTGCCTATGATGATAATGTCATGGTCAGACTGGAACCCAAATCCAGACAGACAGATGTCCTTTGAGAAGGTCATAGGTCCTTCATCTTTTGGTACCTCTTTGTCTTGAAACTTAACAAGCTGAAGCAGAGTTTCTTGGAAAGTTAAACCCTGAAATGCCAACACAATGCATGAAAAATACATCTATGGATCCATGCCTGCCGCTGTCTCTCCTGTCCCCCCCCGAGGACCAAGATAAGGCTGAGTGGAATGACAGATTTTATCAGTTGAGTGACTAGACTCATTTATTAAGAGCTGCAGATACCATCTGGAGACAAGACTGTTTCAAGGCAAGAAAGCAGGTACAAACAGATAGGAAGCTAAAAAAGAAGCCAGCCGTGAATAGAAATCTGGCTGGATCTGAAGCATATAATGCAAATATTATACCGGGGGAATAAATGTTAAGAAGGTCATTTATTCCTATCAAATTTGAAAATCCTACCTAGCCTTCATTAAGAATGCATCCAAACTTCAGATTTCCTTAATGAATGCAACAATTCATGAAACGAGGGTAGGGAAACTCTTTATGCCATCCTAAGCTCCATTACCAGAGGGATACAATCAAGATCAAGTGAGGGATTGATACCACTCTATAAAGCCTTAGTAAATCACACCTAGAGTACTGCATCCACTTTTGGTCACCATACTATAAAAAAAAATGCTGAGACTCTGGAAAGAGGACAGAAAAGAGCAACCAGGATGATGAGGGGACTGGAGGCTAAAACCTACGATGAACGGTTGCAGGAACCGGGCATGGTCAGTCTAGGGAAGAGAAGAACCGGGGAGACAGGATAGCATCTTCCAATATTTGAGGGGCTGCCACAGAGAGGAAGGGGGCTCAACCTATTTTCCAAGGCCCCCGAAGGCCAGACAAGGAATAATGGATGGAAACTGATCAAGGAGAGGTTCAACCTGGAAACAAGGAGGAATTTTCTGACAGGGGGAACAATCAACCCATGGAACAAAAGTTGCCTTCAGAAGTTGTGGGAGCTTCTTCACTGGAAGCTTTCAAGAAGAGACTGGACTGCCACCTGTCAGAAATGGTATAGATTGGGTCAAGCTGTTTTCCAAGGTACCTATTTGGCAAGACAAGGAATAATGGATGGGAACTGACCAAGAAGAGATTCAACCAGGAAATAAGAATAAATTTTCTGACATTATTATTATTATTATTATTATTATTATTATTATTATTGTTATTGTTATTGTTATTGTTATTGTTATTGTTGTTATTATCGTTATTATCGTTATTTTGCGAGGGCTTTGCAGAAAAGATCTCCTGATTTGGAGAGAACCTTGGTCCTTCAGTAAGTGATCTTGCCGTTAAGGCAGAACATCAAGCAGTAACAGATTGGAAGCTGAACACTGAAAGACTTTGGGATTTTTATACAAAAGGTGCAACTCTTGGGATTAAAATGTCTTTAAGGAAATCAATACAGGTAGTCCGCAGCTTACAACTATATGTTTAAGCGACCATTCAGAATTACAACCACACTGAAAAAAGTGACTGATAACCCGGTCCTCCTCTACCATCATAGCATCCCCACGGTCATGGGATCCAAATTCTGGTGCTTGGCAGCCAGCATGGATTTGCAACAATTGCAACATCCCAACATCCCAACTTCCCTTTATCTCTTCTCCTTTCCCTTCCCTTCCTTCCCTTCCCTTTGTATCTTCTCCCTTCCCTTCCTTTCCTTCTCTTCCCTTTATCTCTTCTTTCCTTTCCCTTCCCTTCTCTTCCTTCCCTTTATCTCTTCTCCCTTCCCTTCCCTCCTTTTCCCGTCCTAGATTACCTTCTTCTCTCTGATGGAGAAAGCTTATAGACTGTGTCAGACGATCTGGCTTTAGCAAAAGAATAGATTTTATTTGATTTGTCGAGCCAAAGGCATATAACTAAGGCACCAATCACACCACTATCTTCAAGAGAATTTCAACTCTATAATCTTTGAGACAAGAGCTTAACCCCAGACAGAGTTTGAGTGATCTCCATTAAAACATCCACCTTGCTGTTTGTCTCCTGGTCGAAAGGGGTCACTTTGGAATGTAGCTCTGGAATGGCAGAAAAGGTCAGATAAATTATAAATGCTTGTTTGAATTGGGGTTGAGGAAGTCGAGCTGTTCTGAGATAATCAAATATGGCAGAAATGGAAACAAGGCTCAATACAGAATGATCACTTGCAGAAGAGTTCACCAACTTTTGTACAAAATTGCCTAGTGCAAAGCAAAACAACAACAACAAAGCTCTGTTGAGCTCAGACAGCCATCACTTCGAGAATGCCAGTCTGTTGAAATCCCCCTCTACTACATGCTGACTAGGTGGCGCATCAATTCAATGCAGATCATCTGATGTGGAAAAGAAATGAGATGAAACCAAGGGTCAAAGTAAAAAAACCACATCACGGACTGATTTGCATTTACTGTAAGATTTTCTCAGGCAGAGAGGAGAAAGGCAAGTAGGCAAGCAAGCAAGGAGGAAGTTCCCAAAGAAATAGGATCTTAAGACTGGAAGGGGCCATTGAGGTCTTCTACTCCAACCCCATACTCAGTGTGAAAATTCTCTGACCATCCCAGACAAATGGCTGTCCTTGTCTTGAAAATGATGGAGCCCCAGACATCTGCAAAAAGAAGATGGGACAAGAGTCCAGAAGATTCAAGGTTCCAGAAGATGCACCCTCTTCTGGACCCTCTACCCACTGGTTCTTGTTCTGCCCTTAAGACTCTACAGAGAGTAAGTCCACACCCTTTTTTTCTGTAATAGCACTTCAAGCAAGGGAGGATTTCTCAGAAGAAGCATGTGGAGGGGGGAAAAAAGCAGATTCTGAAAGAGGAAGGAAGGAAGGAAGGAAGGAAGGAAGGAAGGAAGGAAGGAAGGAAGGAAGGAAGGAAGGAAGGAAGGAAGGAAAAAAGAGATGAAGGAAGAAAGGGAGGGAGGGAGGGAGGGGGAAGGGAGGAAAGAAAGAGGGAAGGAAGGGAGGAATGGAGGGAGGAAGGAAGGAAGGAAGGAAGGAAGGAAGGAAGGAAGGAAGGAAGGAAGGAAAGGCCAGAACTCCACTCACTTCCTTCTGCTGTCTTGCCAATTGCTGACACAAGGCCCTGTAGACACTTCCCCAAACCCTTGACTCTTGAAAAGGGTGAAAGATCCTATCAATCATATTTTAAAGATGCTCTTTGCCCCAGTTCAATTTCTCCCTTTTCCATCAGAGCCTGGCAAGAAGCTGTTCTCATACCCAACTGGCAATCCCCTCTCCCCATGTTTCTTGCAGTGGGCCTAAGAGCAGGAGATGAATGTCTTCCGTTAGGCAGAGAAAGCACCTGGTGACGTTTTCCTCCGGGCTACCGGAAAGCTCCTTGCTCTACATCTTCCCCCTTTTGCAGAAACATCGCACACGTACCTGACTGTGTTAGTAGCGTGACATGGACACCATTTGTTGCATTTCAGTCCGTAGTATCCCTCGGGACAGATCCGCTCCTGACAATGGATGCCCTTAAAGCCCAGATCGCACAGACACGCTCCGTTGACATGGTAGCACTTGGCTCTGTTCTCGCAGTTACACTTCTCCATACACTGGAAGCCAAATGTCCCCACTGGACACTCCTCCTGGCACCTACGAAGAAACATCAGGGACTCAGCATCAGGCGGGCCAAATTATTGATAAATGATTCCTTCCTTATCATATAGGTTGCACCATTATTATAACAATAACAACACTTAAGACTTATATACCGCTTTACAGTGCTTTCCAGCCCTCTCTAAGTGGTTTACAGGGTCAGCATCTTGCCCCCAACAATCTGGCTCCTCATTTTACTGACCTCAGAAGGATGGAAGGCTGAGTCAACCTTGAGTCAATGAGAATCGAACTGTTGACAGTGGGCAGAGTCACCCTGCAATACTGCATTCTAACCACTGTGCCACCATAGTCCTTCCTTCCTTCCTTCCTTCCTTCCTTCCTTCCTTCCTTCCTTCCTTCCTCCCTTCCTTCCTTCCCTCCCTCCCTTCTTAGCTCTCTCTAAGCGGTTTACAGAGTCAGCTTCTTTCCCCCAACAATCTGGGTCCTCATTTTTCCCATCTCGGAAGGTTGGAAGGCTGAGTCAACCTTGAGCCAGTCAGGATTGAACTGCTGGCAGTTGGCAGAGTTAGCCTGCAATACTGCATTCTAACCACTACACCACCACAACTAAGCATTCATACAGGTTACAGAATACTTGAGTTAGAAGGACCATTGGAGGTCTTCAAGTCCAACCCACTGCTCAAGCATGAGATCATATAGTACCATTCTGGATAAATGCTGTCCGGTCACTTCTTAAAAACCTCCAGTGATGGAGCACCCACAACGTCTGAAGGCAAGCAAGTCATATCACCACTGATTAAAATGTTTCCTGTAACTGCCCCACAGAAAAACTACTGTTAAACATTTTTTGTTTGTAGCTCATTTTGCACAGAATACGAAGTGTTAAAATATGACAATAAGGGAGAAAATATTTTAGCGGATATTGTTTGCCTGGGGAAAAATGCAGCAATAAAATTGCTTAATAGGAAAAAGAATATACAGTGGCTGATTTAATTTAATATAATTTTGACTAGAAACAAACAGGCTGTGAAAAACTTCAACTAGTTTGGCTGCTACATATACTTCTGCACGAGTTTATCATCTGCGATAGTTATTTTAAGGCATTTTAGTTGGTAGAACAATCTTCTGCTTCCTTTTAAAATAGAAATATTACTTTTAATATTTGGGCCGAAGTTCATTAAGAACTGGCTTACATATTTAGATAATTAAACATGGAATGTCACTGCCAAAGATTAAAGTTTAAAGTAAATGGTTCAAAAGATATCCACCTCTGGAAAGCTACTTGGTTTAAGACCCAGAATTTGGGGCTTTATGGAATGCAGTTTTTCTACGGAGAAGAATTTTTGTGCGTGTTTATGTAATGCGGGAAAACCTTACAGGCATCTCTTGAATATCTATCATCTTAAAATGGCCCGTTTCTCTTGAAATAAACTGTTCAGATTCCTCTGATTCAAATTATATCAAAGTAGCACCTCACTGCAAATATCTCTTAAGTCAGGGGTCCCTAATCTTTCCGGCTGGTGGGAGAGAGGATGGCTCTGCACAAACAGTGTGCGTGCACACCACAGCTCCATTTGCACAAGCATTGGGCATGCACACATGCCCCTTTGCACAAATGGAGCTTGTGCAAGCAGTCCGGGGGTTGGGGAGCCCCTCTTAGGCTACCACTGAGCCCGAAGCCCTGCCATCTCTTTTCATCATTGCTGAGAATTGAATATCAGTGGCCGATTCTGTGACTTGCCCTTCGAAGTCAGCCCCTGCAGGCTGTTTCCTTTCTGGAACCCTGGTGTGTGTGCACACGTGTATGCTTTCACACCTAATCTTCTGGCCCCTTGGAACTGAATAGCCCTCGATCTTCCTGACTACAGCACCAATGCTTTCTTTGGCCGAGCAGTTGGAAACTCTCACGAATGAAGGCAAATATGTTTGTCCCAGGATAACGTTGCAGGATCCAATCTGAGTCTGTCATTGATCAAAAAAAGGAATCCTACAGATTTTACTCTGCTAGTCCTTCTCAAAGATCCATCTCATCCCATTTTTTTTGAACTATTACCATCTGGCAGATGGCACAGAATAATAAAAACAAGGACAAATAGGCTGAAAACAACTTCGACCCCAGGGCAGTAGCTCCGTTGAATTCTACTGTATCTGGGGTTTTCAATTCAATGTGCAGAGTGTGGAGGATGTGTGTTTGTGTTTATTTTCACCGTCATGATGTGCACTGAAGATGGTGTATGATTTCGTTGTACGAGGTGCAATGACAGTAAAGTAAAAGTAAAAGTAAAAGTAAAAGTAAAAGTATAGAGAATAGTGCTCATCTCCGTTTAAAGGCCACTGAACAAGCACTGTCTGAAGGCATTTCTGCAGTCCTATGCCAACATGATGTCATGCAGCACTGTTACTTTCCCACCAAAGTGGTACCTATTTATCTACTCGCATTTTCATGCATTCAAACTGCTAGCTGGGCAGGAGTTGAAGCGAGGATGGGAGCTCACTCGTCACATGGTGCTTGAGTCTTGAACCTGAGCTGCTGACTTTCCAGCTGACAAGCCCAGTCTTGAGCCATCTTGCTACCTCTTTTGGGGGGGCTCGTGCTGGAACCCATCCATCAGAGATTTCCCGAAGATGGGCTCCAGCACAAGCCTGAAAGCTTGGAAGAATAAACTTTTGGTGCTGGTGACAGAGTCAGATTGGATCCTGAAGTTGGCAACTCTTTCTGGCTGATGGAGAAACACACACGCCCCACTGTTACCTGTTCCAAGCGCACTTTGCTTATTTAAGCAGAAAAACACAATGCTCATCAAGATGAATGGGCTGCTGACACCTCAGTATATTATCGTGTATTTATAGGCACTCTCTAGCCTCTAAAAAAAAAATCAAACCTCGGTGCCTTCATCCATTTACATAATTAGTAGCCTTTGCTCCCCCCCCCCCGGTCCTCGCTTCTCTGTGGTTTATCCAGGGGTGGGATTCTACAGGTTCACACCTATTCACTAGAACCAGTTGTTAACATTCTAAGCAGTTCGGAGAACCGGTTGTTAGAAGAAATTACTGGCCTAATCCTGTAAGGAAGGCAGGAAGGAAACATTCTGGTGTTGCTTACAGAAACTGCCCCTCCGTTAACCCTTATTACATTCTTGGCAGGACTAGACTTCCTGTCTCAGGAATGTCTCTGGAGTTGTTTTCCCCTCCTTTGCTGGTACTTTGCTTGTGTGGAGGGACCATTCAAAGTTACAATGGCACTGAAAAAAGTGACTTACGACCGTTTTTCACACTTACGACTGTTGCAGCATCCCCACAGTCACGAGAGGCCAGGCAAGGAGATGCGTGCCTCGATGTGAGTGATGTTGAGTTGGCCACGCCCAGCCAATAACATCACCACCAAGCCATGTCTACCCAGTCACATGACCACCAAGCCATGCCCACCAACTAAGCCACACCCATAGAACCGGTTGTTAAAAAATTTGAATCCCACCCCTGGGTTTATCCCTTTGCTATCTTGGGAAGATGAAATACACTCCACAAGTGAATTTCACGCAGTGGAAATGCCTCACTTCCTATCCTATCAATCCCGAAAGACCATTAGGGGTGAAATGTGCTGCTCGGTTAAATTATACCACCACCGAATGCAGCCCTTGCCTGATTCTTGTTCCATTTTCCATTTCATCCCCCTTATCTGAAGAGAGCTACTTTAAAGCCGTTCTTCGGGGCTTCAATAATAAGTGCATAATTATTTCAGCTTGGGTTAATATACTTGTCAAGCAGTAGAATTAATGGCCACAATTTCACAAAATATTAAACACTACCATGCTTTGTTTAACACATTATATACATGTAACAAATATTATTTTCTTTTACAAACATTGGTAAGAGTGGCGGCCATCCCATTCGTTATAAAAGCGATATGTTTCTATCTTACATGGAATACAGGATGTCGCACCTCGGAACATTTAAACTCTTCGCATCACGATTTTATACACACCAGTAAAAAGAAAAAATACATAGGAAAACAAAAATGAACAAAACAAAACAAAACAAAAAAAAAAGAAATCACACACTAGGTTCATTATAAGTGTTTGCAAAGCGACTGTTTCCCCCCCCCCTTTTTTTTTATTAAACTACCTTTGGCTTTATGGCTTGGGTAGTGTAATATTTCCTAACTTTTATTGCTTTTTAGCAAGTTGGCTTAGCATCCGGTGCGTATCGTCAGCTTTTTATTTGATTGTGCCTTATTTTCCATTGTGTTGTTTTTCCATGGATGCTTTTAGAGGTTTGTTTAGTGCTAATTTGTTATTTTTTTTACAACACCTACGGAATTTGTAAGGATCAACAAATGAACGAGGTTAGTCCCTCCATTTCTTTTTTTTTTCCACAGTCCAGTCATTTATTATCTTTTTTTTTCCAATTTGAGTCATTTTTTTTTCAATTGCACAAGCAAAACTGAACAGCTGTTGGGGTTTCCCAAACGCCCCCTTCAATTTTCTCTCTCTCTCTCTCTCTCTTCTATACACTCAGGGGAGGGGAGGGGAGAGGGGGGAGTGATTTGGGAACACCACAATATCCAACATACACAAACTGGAGAGCGAGCCCCTCCATTTTCTATAGTCATGCAACACCTGGGGAGATTCCCCAGTGAGTGCCCGCGACAGCGTTGCATTCACACTACAAAGATGGTCGTTGTGTATGAACAAACAGAAATACAGGTAGCCCTAGAGTTACGACCACAACGGAGCTCAAAATTTATGTGGCTAAGTGAAACATTTGCGAAGTGAGTTTTCCTCCATTTTACAACCGTTCTTGTTGCAGTTGTTAAGTTAATAACCTGGTTGTTAAGTGAATCTGGCTTCCCCATTGACTTTGCGGATCAGAAGGTCATAAAAGGTTGTTGATCACGTGATCAATTCATAAAACATTTTGTATACATGTTTTATAGTTGACACCTGGGACATTATGACTGTCATAAATATGAACCAGTTGCCAAGCGTTTGAATTTTGGTCATGTGACCATAGGGAATGCTGCAATCGTTGTAAGAGTG